CACACCCTTTCATGCCAGTGGATGTAATGACAAAAGCAGATGTGAGTAAGGGGAACGCCGCACAGCTCCAGCCCCTCAAGACCGGCATGATGCGGCTTACAGCAGAGAAGGATTCCCTCACGCACCGCCGTCAGGACCCGTCTTCCAAGGCCAGGTCCCGAGCAGCGTCGTCTCGTCAGCTCTCGTTGCCGTCGTCGTCGACGTCGCGATCGACCGAGGGGAGGGAGGGAGATTGAATTCTTTTTCTGCATGTTTCACTTGCCTGCCTCTTGAGAGGCCGCACTGGTCAGCTCGTGTTTCGATGCCAGGACCTCTCTCTTTTTTGTGAGCTCATGTATAGCTTGAAGCTCACTGAAGTTGGGCCGGCTGAGGAATTCACCTGTATGAGCTTAAACTATGTTGATGTCAGTGTGTTTGCGTGCCCGTAATCATCTTGGCTTAGGGCACCCTCTGTGTTCTTATCTTGCGATCGGTCTGACAACCATCATTGCTCGCTTCCGCTGCCGATGTTGGCGTGTCATATAGTCTATTAGGATGTCGTTTGTTATGTCATGGTATGCTCTGGTATGTTATGAGATGTTCTGGTATGATCTAATGTGCCATGATATTGGTATGTTATGTTCTGTCATGTTCTGTCATGCTCCGCTCCGTTCTGTCGTCTTCTGTTCTTTCACGTTGTGTTCTGTCGTGTTCGTCGAGGGCGCGAGGCTGGACACCTGGGACTCGGGGATCATCGGGACAACATGGGGTCTGGCGGCCGCGGTATGCAGGGTGGGGTTGGCTGGGCGCCACGCGGGACATCATCGGGACAATTTGGGGTCTGGCGGCCGCTGTATGCACGGCTTGGTGGGCCGGGCGCCAGGCGGGACACCAGGGACCGTCGGGACAACTTGGGGTCTGGCGGCCGCGGTATGCAGGGTGGGGTTGGCCGGGGGGCTTTTTGTTGAAATCTAACAACCCCAACCTTTCGGGTGGGAAACGAGAGAGCGAGAGAGAGCGAGCCACGGGTCATTGTTCTCGGCTGGCGCCCAAGACAGGCTTGAACCACAATGGCTACGGATGGGGGGGGCGACGGGGCGGAGGAGGCGGAGGAGGGTGAGAAGAAAGGGGGAAGTTGGCGGAGGAGTAGGAGGAGTTGGCGGAGAGAACAGTATTCAGAGGTAGGAGGAGGAGTTGGCGGAGGATGGCGAGTTCGATGGAACAGGTTGAGGAGGAGGAGGAGGAGGAGGAGGAGGAGGAGGAGGCTGCGGCGGCGGCGGTGGCGGCGAAACGAGGTCGGGCCGAAGTCGAGCACATTCGAACAGGAGGAGGAGAAGAAGGAGGAGGAGGAAGGAGCAGGGAGCAAGAAGAGTAGGGGGTCGCATTGGCGTGCATTTCTTTGCCGACCTAGCTGCAGCAGGCTCTAGGCTGCAGCGCCTGGCTACCGCACGCCACGCGACGGCAGCGCAGAGACACCACAGGGGCAGTGAGATGTATACGCCACGCCCCTCCCCTCCTCACCCCTCCCCTCTCTCAGGGAGGGGAGGAAGGCCTGGGGGGGGGAAGGGGAATGGTGTCAGGATGGGGGAAGATCGAAGGAACAACCAACATTCCCATCAGCAGACACTCTCGGAGGTCCGCGCGGATTTCTCGGATCGGCGCAGATCTTTTCTAGCGTTTATCTTCAATCGGCGGCGAGCAGGGACGAAAAGAGGAACAGGAGAGGCGCCGGCAGGGGGGAGAAAAGGAGGCCCTGGCATCCGATGTCTCCTCCCAGACATGATCGCGTTGTAAAAACATCGGGACGGGAAGGTTTTGGTTATTTTCGGCCCGCGGGGGGGCCCTTGCTGGGCCTCGGGGCCGTCAAAAAACGACTCAGGACGACAAATCGGTTCCGGGGAAAGTGTCGGCACTTCCAGGGACGCCGTCCTGAAAAAATTAGGACGTCGCATGTCTGGGTTAGCTTCTTCCATCTGTGGCCCCAGGAGTTCCGACCCGCCCCAGGGGCCAGCCCTTCACCTGGGGCCCTTCTGCGGACGGCCCCGGGGCCCAGCGAGGGCCCCCCGGAGGCCGAACATCGTGCAAGACGCCCCCGCCTCGACGCTTTCACAGCTGGGGAGGGGGAGGGGGAGGGGGAGGATCGGCGGCGAGCGAGTCTGAGGGGAAGTGAGAAGGGACGGGCCTTCTCGTAAGGCTCGGAACTTCCCCCGGCCTTGTGAGAAGGTTTCTAAGCCTTGCCCGAGGACCCTGAAAACTTCTCAGGAGGCGCGAGGGCTTCTGAGCAGCCTCGCCGCCTTCTGAGAAGGCCTTCTCTCCTTCTCGCTTCCCCCCCTCGCTCGCCGCCGCCGAGCGTTGTTTTGGAATGGCTACTCCTCCTCCTTTCCTGGGCTGCCCGCAGGCACCTCCACAGTGCCTTTCCTGGGCTACCCGCAGGCACCTCCCAAGTGCCCTTCCCAGGCCCCCGCAGGCACCTCACGAGTGCCTTCCCGGGCCCCCGCAGGCACTTCCCAAGTGCCTTCCC